AAACCCAAATCCCTAAACCCTATACCATGCTGGACAAGCAGGCTTTTCTCCTTTTTCACCTCGTAGTTCAACACGGCAGGCGATCCAGAAGGAGCACTTCTATCTGCTTGTTCCTCAGTGTGACTAGGGTTTAGGGTTTAGGGTTAAGGGTTTAGGGTTTAGGGTTCAGGATGGACAGGAAAGAGAGGAGCCATGGTGGTTTAGGGTTTAGTCTCCAGAACAAGAAGACCCTAGACCCTATCTGGGTCTATATGAAAGTTTCCCAAACTAGGGGGCCAAAGCATCATAGTCCCTATCATGGGGATCCAAAATGGCACCCCTAATTTTGGGAAACCCTGAAACCTTTATCCCCTATGTGTCCCCTGGTAAATGGTAAAATCTATGATCCTGTACTATAGTTTCTTCTAGTTTGTCACAGCATATGATAGTATATGACTATATTTTGTATATTATAGTATAGCATGTTATCGTACATTCTATTCTATTCTATTCCGTTGTTTTATACTATAGTATCATATGTCCCCAGTATATTATAGTATCTAATGCTGTATTATAGCATATTCTAGTATATTACTAGGGAGCCTTGTCTTGTCTGCTCCCAGGTGTGGTCTGTTGACAAGTTCCAGCAAAGGCTCGAGGCACTGGAAGCTGGGCATTTGGCCCCATCTGGCCACACTTAGGGCTTGGGTTTGAGGGTAGTGGGGATTTCCCTAAGTTCGTTATTGCGAGATATAGGGGAATGGAAAAGACCATAAGAACCACTGTAATGGAGAATTGCTGGAAACGAATACATCCAACATGCCTTTTGAGATTTGGTCTTATGATTTTCACGTGCAAGACAAGAAGTGAGCCGCCCTCACCAAATCTGCAAACAAAGTCCATTTCAAAGTTGCTCTAGCTAGCCTGTGTCTAGTAGGGAATAAGGGAATGTAATCCCTGTATAATCCCTATATAGTACATTCCCTACTAGCCCCCCGGTAAGCTAGCTCCGAAGCGAGGTTGTGTGCAACTGTCTCGCCGGTCCTTGCTTCGGCTCAGCAGCGGAAACTCACACACCGCCATGCTGAAACCCAACCCACTTGCGGCATTGCTGCAGCAAATAAGTCAGCATGGCAGCCTGCCAAAAACTTGCTGCTCTTGTAGATGGTAGTTGCTTCTATATGGTAGGACCCCCATAATCCCTAAATAATCCCTATATATCCCCTGGGGTCCCTAGGGTACCCCTAATTTTGGGAAACCCCCGTATGGTGTATGATGTGGGCCGAGGACTTCCGGCTGAAGCCGGAAGCTAACACAGCGCAACAGCCGCCCCAAGCCCATGGATTAGCGCAAGGGTTATATAGGGGTTATATAGGGTATAGATTATATATTGGGGTTATATTGGGATAATGGAAAAGAAAATGGAAACTGCTATATTATTAATATGTTAGTTTCCATTTTATCTTGTTAATCTCCAGGCATTTTTCCAAAACATGGCAACTGCCAATGGCTCTCCTCTAAGCTTGAGCTTGCCGTGTCAAGGGATGCTGCAAGAGGACCCTGGCGAGAGCCGCGGGTCACCTGACACCCTGACCCGGAGGCCTGGTACAGGTGGACCTGGAACTCCCGGGCACGGTGCAGCGGGCACCCCAGGTGCGCCCGGGGTGGTTGCTGGGCCCGGAAGCCCGTGGCAATACCAGCTCAATGCCCGCATCCGTGGGCGCGGAGTTGAGAGTCCCAGCTCGCTGGGCGTCCGTGCGCTGAGCGGCACACGAACAGTTGTAAACGCAGCCGCGCGAGCCTCCTACGAGAGTGCTCTCCTAGCTGCGGTGCGACGACAGATCGAAACCTTCGAAGAGAAGGTGGAGAAACAGATCAGTAAACTGCAAGTCCATGGAGGCAAGGATGCGAGCCTTGCCAGGCTGGAGGAGAAAGTCTCAGCAGCAGAGGGTCTCCAGCCCAGAGTTGAGAGGAGGCTTGCAGAGCTCAGTGGCAACTTCAAAGGATTATCCGATGCTGGGTTGCTGTTAAAGAATTTAATTTAGGTTATTATAATGGGTATACACAGTAAATAATGGGGCTTCCCCCCAATATAGTAACTTAATCGATTAAGTTACTATATTGGGTATATATATATATATAGCAAATAATAGGGTTTCCCCCCAACATCGTAGCTTGAATTCAGTTCCTTAACAGCAGCCCAGGATGAGATGCAGGCGCAGATCCGACGCGTGGATCTGCTGGATGACCGACGCTGGGAGTGGAGGCATCAGGTGGAAGAGGAGATGCAGAAGAAGTGCCAAGGCACTTAGGGTTCAGGGTTTAGGGTTTAGGGTTTAAGGGTTTAGGGTTTAGGGTGGAAAAGAAAGTGGAAACTACAACAATTATAGAGGGGTTATATAGGGGCAAGATAGGGGTTATTTTCTGTGGCTACCAAATCCCAGGTCCCCACCAACCAGCACACCTTCCCCATAAAGGGAGACATATAGGGATACACGGGGAACTACAGGATTTTACAGGATTTAGGGGGCAACCCATATTTGAGTACTTAGGATTTGGGGAGCGGTCCTCCTAAATTCTCTTTCAACCCCTCAGTGCCAGGCTACGAGCAGCCCTAGACCCCAAACCCCAAACCCTAAACCCTAAACCCTTGTTCTAGTAACATTTCCGAGGGGGATTATCCTGAGGAGAAAAGGTCCCACAAAAAAATCCTAAACCCTAAACCCTAACCGCACCAGGCTACGAGCAGCAAGTGCAGGCACTAGCCTCCAAGCTCCGCGGACAGCTGGCGCTGGAGGACATTGGGGCTCCCACAAAAACTCACTGGCTAAGGGTTTAGGGTTTACGGTTTGGGGTTCAGGGTTTAGGAAAGATGGGAATACAGTATGTAGGTTTTATATGAGGTTTATAAAGGTGTGTACAGGGATTATATGAGGATTACACAGGAGTTATCTAGGGATTATGTAGGGATTGTATTCCCTTATTCTCTGCTACGCACCAGAAAGAAGAGGTAGCAAGGCTTGAGTTGCAGTCCTTCATCGGCAATCAGGTTGATCCTTCATCATGATATGAGCTATACTCTGAACTCCTCTAAGGGGTTATATAGGGGATTATACAAGGAAGAGTTACAAGGGTTAGCAAGGGGGGATACTCGGAATGTAGACTATAGCTCATGTATGCTCATATGATGTTTTGATGCATTCATCTGAGCAGCGCTCAGGGGCGGGGAGCAGGCGTTGATTGAAAAGCTGCTCAGCAACCTGTTGTTCGAGGAATGGAGCCTTCACGATAGGCTCATTGTCATCGTCAAACTTGTAAGTTGACGCCAGTGCGGCAAGAGTGGCTGGGACGGGGCAGTCAGAGTCAAGTGGGAGAGCAGCACTTTCAGGATTGGGGGGGGGGGTTTGGAAAGGCTGGCAGGGTGGGGTCTTTGGGGAGCGGGGGAATGGCCCATCCCCTCCTACCCCGCCCAGTCCATCCGCCTGGCCATCCGCCCCCCCCACGCGCGCGCGCGAAACTACCAGGCGCCCGGCAGTGCCCTCGCATGTTCCTCTACTTCTGCTGCTGCTACTCGTACTAGCGGCTACCCCTTAGCACTGGCTCTTGCCACAGGTTTGTCGTAAGACTGTAATATACTTCTTCGAGAAAGCGGCATTGGCGTAGTAGTGCTAGGAGATGTCAGGAAGCTTTGCTGCTGCTCGGACGTTTCCTAGGTCCGCTGTCTCCCCCAAACAGTTCGCCGAGCTGAGCGCCTGAGGGCAGCATCAACTCTTTTCTTGTGACAACAAAAACTTTGTGGGGTTATGGGGTCAGGGACGGTTGCTTGAAGAATGCCTTTGGCTTGTATGTAACTACCCCCACCCTCAACCCAACCCATCATCTCAAATAAACGTTCAGATCAAACATAGTGCTTAAGAGGGTCATCCTTGTAATGTCTTTGTCATCACCAGTGTCGTTGTTATCATCACCACTGTCGGCTATACAAGGGCCATCATCACCGTCATCACCATGAAGGTTTTTGCATGTGTAATTGCTCCCTTCGATTTTTGAGCTCGAAGGCATGACACTAAACCCTAACCCCTAAGACACAGTACCTTTTGCTGGTTGATCACCTTAGAGGGCTGTATAGGCCGCTGAGCGCTTTGCGCTTGATAGTTGCCGAGGTTGGGGGGTGAGACTGCAAGGTAGGAGCTTCCACATACGTACAAACAACTTAAGCTAATTTCTCTGTGGCTGCCGGAATTTCTGATGTGTAGGATGTGCTGCAAGGACACGCTAAAACAGCACCACCACCGCTTGCAGAGGCCATGCACGCAATGGTGTGCTTGTTTGAGGGCTTTGCACCAAGCAAAGATGTAAGGTTGGAATCTGACCTTATCCAGCGAAGTTCCATGCACGAGGCTGGCAGTATGCTGGAAGGTAGCTAGCTCATAGCTCGTGCTTCTGCTAGCAGGAAGTCCGCGAGGGCTTTGCCAATGTGTGTGGCCGCCTTGAACTTCTTGAAGCTCGGCCAGAGGACGGGCCGACAGTGAACTGTGCAGCATCGGCTTGTGGCATGTTGTCTTCACCAAGAGGAGCCCTTGGTGGACAAAGCAACAGCTGCGATGAGCTCAGTTCATCTAATCGTGCTTGATGATGCGTCTGGAGTCTGCAGCTGCATTTCCCAAGTTTGATCCCTGCCACGCAATTGGCGTAGCAGGATGCTCTTCTTGAGCGCAGCTCAGCCGCCAAGAGACGCTGCCTCAGTGCATCATGATAGAGAGCCGGACCCATCATCCAGAAGATCAGCTGCCCAGGCGATGACTTTGTCGGGCGCTCTCGAGTTCAGCTTGCGGTTTGGTGGTAGTTCGTTCTGTTCACGTGCAAGGTTGCCAACTCGATTTACGAAGTGCTGTCGAAGCGCATCGAGGACGACTGTCCATTCATGCCACTGTAGGGACCAAAAGGTTGGGGTTGGTCAACATACCTTTACCCTTATTTTGGATGCATTCATGCCCTCGACTACAGAAAGTCTCCCTCCCCAGAATCTTCCCCAGATGAAGCTCGCTCCCGCTCATGTTTTCCAATCCGAACGATAAGATTTTTCACCCTGCTGTATCACATAGGGTTTAGGTTTAGGTACAGGGTTTAAGCTAGGGCTTAGGCTTAGTAGAGAAGAAGGAAATGTATTTTTACAGGAACTATATAGGGATTGCATTCGCTTATTCCCTACTAATCACCAAGATGAAGGCGTAGGATCTTGTCTTTGGCTTTTGCTCGCGCGCGTTCTGATTCGGGGATCCCAAGCCCTAAACCCTAAACCCTATATACACTATGATATTACAGTAGTTTCCATTTTCTTTTCCATTATCCCAATATATAACCCCAATATAACCCTATATAACCCCTATTTAACCCCTATTATAATATAGTAGTTTCCATTTTCTTTTCCATTATCCCAACATAAATAGAACGGCGACAACCCGCACACTAGCAACTCGTCTTAGGGCTCAAGGAGGGAGAGGTGTCATTTGGGGGGGGGTTTCTCAAAAATAGAAAGGCCTTTTCAGGCGTCCTTTTTGTCAGGATCATAGCAGTTTGGGGTCCATGTTGGGGCCCCAACTTGTGGAAGACGACCATATTTGTATATACCCAGGCGTGGTATTGCAGTCTCCATTTTTCCATTACTCCTGTAAATCCCCCAGAAAGGCTACGCCATTTTCAGCAGAACTGAAGGACGTGGGCGGACGGATCGAGGAAGCACTGCAGGACTTTCCCTCCCGCTGGGTTTAGGGTTTGGGGTTTAGGGCTTAGGGTTTAGGGTTTTTTGGGAGAACCCCAGCAGCCAGGACTGTGCGGACAGGACAAAGTTGATAAAGCTCAAGCCTGACGTTCAGGGTTTTCATTGGATGTTGTTGACACTAAGAATCCTGCATGACCTTAGTATACTATAATGCCATAATTCCAAAGGTATAAGTTACCTGGGGTCATGTAGGATCTTGAGTATCCACCGTATGAATAGGTTTAGGGTTTAGGCTTGACGTGCAGGTCCTATGGCTAGTGGCAGCACTTTGAGACATTTAGGGTTTAAGGGGTCAGGGTTAGTAGGGAAAAAGCGAAGAGATTACATAGGGCTTATATGGGATGAAATTCCGAAGCACGCTGGTCTGATGTTTCATGTAAGGGTCCCTTGCTGCGTGTACAGGTCACGGCTTGGATTCTATGGGTCACTTGTGACTGGTTGGCTACTTCTTGACCCTGACAAGAATTCAGAAGTATTGGGTTGACATAGAAACATTCAAGGCTTTCTACAGCATGATGTAGCATGGGCTTCATGGCGAGGGGGGCGCCTCCCCTCGGTCTTTCGCTGCCAAGCATTGCTGGCTTTCACTCCAGTGCATTTTCATTTTCCTCAAGGCTTGGCCTGAGCTTTTGACTAATTCCGTCCTTCTTCCAGGCTTCAAGCAGGGGTTTGAGGAGGTTCAATGCGCGTGTGTAGCCGCACCGGCTCAGCTGCGCCTTCCCCCATCCGCAGAGAGAGGGCAACGTGAAGTGAACCATGGCGCAGCGCGCAGCAGCCCTTTTGGCAGCCTTTGCCTCGGCTGCTTCGCAGCTGCGGATGCCTGCAATCGTACCGTGCTTCTGCAAGCAACCGTCAAGTCTTGAGGTGGCCGCCATTGGCCTTCTGAGCCTGCACAGAGTTTTTGTCGCCCAGGGCGGTGCTGAGGCCAAACTTGCAAACGGGGAGTTAGAGTCAGAGGGTTCCGAATCCTATGGAAGGTGACTCCACGCCATCC